TTTCTCTATACTTTTTTGAATAACTCCATCATTTTTCATCCAATCTTCATGAAATTTTCACAGAATGAAGAGAAGAGGCAATACTAAAAATTTCTTAGTTGAATTTTTGATATATGGAATAGATTTTTGTTGGTGGTGTCTGGAGTGTGGATTTTTACGAATTTTTCGCAAACTTGAATGCCACCTTAGGAAAAAATTCATAAAATATTTTCTAATTCGATTAGGAAAAAAACAACAGACAAATTTTAGATCTAATGTTTGTGAACACGCATGCAAAAAAACAATCAATTTCCACGAGCGATAAGTGCGATATTCATTACGTAAGACATGTCAATAAAATCCAATATGGCGGCGTATCCATGGAAACGAAACTTTTTTCTCAAATTTGATTGCGGATTTCAAGACTCCTTACTATGCTTGTTATATGTGGGAAATTTGGTAAAATTCGGTTCAGTAATAAGCGAGATAGCCTCCAGGTGTAGCCCCCCCCCCCCCCCCTCCCCTTGAGCTTTCTCCCGATGACCGTGCTTAAAGCCGGCGTGGACTGTATTGGCTTATTGCGTTCAGCATTTTTCAGTTATTTACGGTTGTGTTACATGGACTGTGTGAACCGTCGTTGTTATGGCTTTTTGTACGGCAGTGAGAGAGGTTACAGAATGCTGAATTCCAGTCCACTACTGTGCACGAGAACGTGGTCAAAGCCGCCAGAATGAATTCAGTAAAAACTCGCCTAAACGGACGTTTTGATGTGCACTGCACGTGGTTATTGGGGTTTTGGCGACAACACTTGATCCTTTACAAAACTCTGTTCCTAATATTAACAATTTTGTTTTGCGTTTCCTAATATTCAATATTCACCAAGTGTCAAGTTTCTTTTTTTTTAAGAGTATATTTCTAGTCGGTGTAGCCTTGTGATTCTGTTGTTATTGTTCTTGTTGTTGTTTCTGTTGCTTTTCTTCTTCTTCTATTTTACGTAGGCCCCTATCTGTCTGCACATTAGGCTTATACATTTTACAATTTACGCCTTTTTAGGGACGAGTAACCTACAGTATAGGCATTGTGTCCTTTTCAACATTGAAAAGAGCGATATAAATTGCAAGAATGTCAGAAGCAGCCAATCAGACCGGACCTTCGGTGTGAATGATCGTAATAATTTCAGATCAAATCAGATCAGATATAGACAAATTTTACTTACTGGCTCCCGGGGATTTGGAATGAATGTACCAGAACATAAACGTGCAAAGATTAGGGGCCTAATGTAATTAGCATCAAGACAAAAATGCACCCATCACATTCATGCACAATGCAATGACACACATAGGCTACTCGTCTACATGTACGACTACTCTCTCTATCTCTCTTTTTCTCTCTCTCTCTCTCTCTCTCTCTCTCTCTCTCTCTCTCTCTCTCTCTCTCTCTCTCTCTCTCTCTCTGTGTGTGTGTGTGTGTGTGTGTGTGTGTGTGTGTGTTTCTCTCTCTCTCTCTGTCTGTCTGTCTGTCTGTCTGTCTGTCTGTCTGTCTGTCTGTCTGTCTGTCTGTCTGTCTGTCTGTATAAATCTATGTACCCCCCCCCCTCTCTCTCTCTCTCTCTCTCTCTCTCTCTCACACACACACACACACACACACTCTCTCTCTCTCTCTCACTCTCTCTTTCTGTCTGCCCCCACCTCACCCCCTTAGATAAGTTATTCCCCTTGTTTTTTAAATGATCTAACATTTAACTGCATTTATTTTACTTACTCTGTAGGCCTAGGGATTTACTGTGGAGGGATACGATCCTAGACAGTGAAGTTCTTGAGAGGGCGAAACCCCTCTATCTAGCCTAGTATCTTCTGTTATCTAAAGCCTGCGAGGTGCCCATTGGAGGATCGGGTCGGGTTGGGGCGGTCTGCCAGTCAGATTGAGGGCGCAAAGCGGCTATCGTGGCACAAGCCGATCGTCTCGCTTCAAAGACAAACACTTGGTCCAAATGCCAAAATAGTCGGCTCCCAAAAAACTGGTTTTTTTTTTTCCTTAAAAAATGGCCGGGGAGGGAAAAACATCGCCCCCTCCCCCTCCCTCCCCGAAAAAAAGGGGGGGGGGGGGGGGGGGGGGGGAGGGGGGTTGTCAGTGTTTTATGGCGCTCGCAACTGCATAAGGTCATATGAGCTCGCGGGACTCACAAAACATTTTCAATTGGTAGGAAATTTTTAATTTTGCCCGGGTTGCGGCCGAAGCCTTCTCTTATCGATTTTGGACCACCAAGGAATCTTTAATGTGCGCAACTTGCACACGCCACCTCTGATTTAAAAAAAAAATTCCCCCTTGTCCGAGAAGGCTATGTGTAGAATCTAGCTCTTTCCTACCATAAGATCAGGGATGTGGCTGAAAGACAGCAGTGAGAAGAAGCCAAGGAGTAGCAAGCAGTAGAAAGGCTGCAGAAAAAGTCAGGAGCCCAGTGGAGGGGGCAAAGGAGGTGAAGGTTTGGGGGAAGAAAGTGGAGACGAAAGCAGACGACAGAATATTACAAGAGAGAAGGAACGAAGGTGAAACGGGGCGATTTTAGTCTTTCTTTTTAGAAGAAAATTTTTCGGTCGGTCGCCACCCAGATTCGAACCCGGGACCTTTGAATGAGAGGCAAACACCTTAAACTCAGGGCCACGAGA